TCATTGGGCTAGTACCTAGTATATGGTAGAAGCTATAAATATTGATTGAATAACTAAATAAATAAACGCAGTCATCACCTGAATCAACATCATACCTGGTGGCTTTAATAATTATTCCCTATACTTAAGTATAAGGAATACACACACACACGCACACACACACATAATGCCTGTTAATATTGCAAATACAAAGTTACTTTCTCTTCTGAGAAGCAGTGAAATCTTTAATGCACAGGTCATAAGATCCAGTTCCCTGGAGGTATTTAAACAGAGGTGGATATTGAAGTTGGTGGGGGCTCAGCCTCAGATGACTTTTAAGGTTTCTTTCAACCACAACTCCTGGAATGTGAAAGTGTATAAAGTACCTCAGGCCTTCCATCTTGTTCATGATATTTGAACAGCAGAACAAGGGCAGATAGAATGCTATTGGTTCTAGTGTTGTTTGTTTTCCTTTAAGATCAAGAGATCCAGTGCTACTGTTTTGAATAATTCTAAATGTTTCTCTGCATTTGGGAAAGCCTGCTAAATTTGTCTACCATTTCAAATTCTGGTAGACATTTTTTAAGATGAAATGAGGCAACCGATTAAAATGAAAATGAAAAGCCTAACGTTTTGGAGGTAGACCAGATTTCTAGAGTTCTAAAATCTGCTTGCGCACAGGGTTTGCAAATGCATTCCCACTGTTCAAAGCTGAATATTTATAAAATCATGTTCTGGAGTGAAGATTCTATGAAAGGAGGTAATTGATAGTGTGGCCTTTACAAGGCTGGCATAGGCCAAAGACACAAATTGGTGGCCACTGATGATTCCAAGAGCAGTTGTGTTTTGTGTGTCTCACACTATGTTAAAAAAATCCAAAATGTTACCAACATTTAAAACTCAGAGGTTTTCACATGCATAAAAATATATATTTCTGCTTTTCCTGAAAATCTGGAAAGACTATTATGCATTGCTGTAAAGAAATACCTAAGACTGGGTCATTTACAAAGAAAAGAGATTTAATTGGCTCCTGAGAAGGGGAAATAGGCAAGTCCCATGGCAAAAGTAGGAGCAAGCGAGAGAGAGAGAGAGAGAGAGAGAAAGAGAGTAGGAGAGGAGGGGAGGAGGGGCCACACACTTTTAAAAGACCAGATCTCAGGATAACTCACTCACTGTCACAAGAACAGCACCAGAGTGATGGTGCTACACCATTCATGAGAAATCTGTCCCCATTATCCAGTCACCTCCTACCAGGGCCCACCTCCAACACTGAGGTTTGCAATTCAGCATGAGATTTGGGTGGGGTACAAATATACAAACTATATCAACTGTCTACAGTGGACCCACATTCTCTCATGGCAATAAAAGATAGGATCTGACGGTCTCTGGCCCCTTATACTGGGACATACCACCCCAGGGTATCCCCACTTGGACCCTTCTTTCATTTTTGTCATCCGCCTGGCCACTGAAGGCGTTTGCTTTGGTTTCCCCTCTCAGACAAAACTGTGACTCAGGAGGGCTGGCATGGCCAACACACTTCTTGCCATTTGACTGTGCCTTGAATGCAGGGAATATATGTCTTGCTACAAGTTGTTACACTCCAGCACCGTTGCTTCTACTTGGTAGAACTCAAGAACTCTCGACTTATCCTGTTCCCATTTCATACCTACCAATTCCTGGTTTTCCCTCTTTTCTATCCCCCAAATCTGGGCACTTTTTTTTTCTTTTTTTTCTTTTTTTTTTTTAGTGAAAAGGGCTGGTATTAATAATTATGGTTGACCCCTGAACAAGGCAGGGGATAGGTGTTGACTCCTCATACAGTTGAAAATCTGCATATAATTTTTGACTCCCCCAAAACTTAGCTACTAGTAGTCTTCTGTTGACTGGAAGCTTATTGATAACATAAATAGTCGATTACCATATTTTTTGTATGTTATATGTATTATATACTTATAATACAATAAAGTAAGCTAGAGAAAAGAAAATGTTTTTAAGAAAATCGTAAAAAATATATTTACTATTCATTAAGCGGAAGTGGATCATCATAAAGGTCTTCAACTTTGTCTGCACGTTGAGTAGGCTGAGGAGGAGGAAAAAGAGGAGGGGTTGGTCTTGCTGCCTCAGGGGCAGCAGAAGCAGAAGAAAATTCCCATATAAGTGGACCTGCTCAATTCAAGGGTCAACTGTACTCTGGGACAACATGTGTAAACTGGAGCTATTGTAGGTGTAATAGTTTTCTAGGGCTGCTATAACAAAGCATCACAAGCCACCTGGCTTAAAACAACATAAATTTATTTTTTCACAATTCTGGAGACCAGAAGTCCAAATTTAGGTATCAGCAGGGTCTTCTCTTTCTGGAGATTCTGAAGGAGAAAGCCTTTCAGTACCTCTTTCCTAGGTGTTGGTGGTTGTTGGTGGTACTTGGGGCTCCTTGGCTTGTAGGTACACCCCTCCAATCTCTGCCTTCCTTATCACATGATATTCTTCCTGCATGGCTGTGTCTCTGTTTTCTTTTCTTATTAGGACACCAGTCATATTGGATTAAGGACCACCATTTTAGCTTAATTATCTTTGCAAAGACCTGATTTCCAAATAAGGTTATAGGTTACAGGTTACAGGAGGTTAGGACCGCAACGTATCTTTTAAGGGACACAATTTATATCATAGCAAGCTAGGTCATTTGTTCATGCTACCTCAGGCCCAATGCCTTCCTGCAAATTGCCCTTTATTTGTCCAGACAAGTCTGCTCAACACCTCACCCAATCAGATCCCAAAGCTCTAAACACTTATCTTTCCTTATCCTGCTTCCTCCATGAATGATCTCATTCCATGTTACTGTTAGGCGACAGGTCATCTGATTAAATAAAGGTAAGGAATGCTAAACTACATTGACTCTCTAAAGTTTATCTGCACTGTCTAATTAAAGATGATTTCTGAATTATAAGAGTAAAACATATTCAGTGCATAAAATTTGAATATTACATAGAAGCTACCCAGAGTTTGAATTATACCTCTGAGAAGCAACTGTTAATTTGATTTTCTTCCAGTTTTTATTCTTTGCCTCTTAAAAGTCAAAATTGTATAATTTTATGTGTCGTTATAATTAAGCATTTTTTTCCATGTAAACTCTAGTATACTATATAATGTTAAATATTTGTTAAGTGTTTTCTAAATGCCAACTACTACCCTAAGTACTTTATGTGCATTATCTAATCTACTGTTAATAGTTATAATATTCTTAGTGGTAGATATGATCATTCCTATTTTACGAATGAGAAACTGAGGCAGAGTAAACCTAGAGAATTTTTTCTAGGCTACACAGCTAGTATTTCATAGAATCAGGATTCAACTCCAGCTCACCAAGCTTCAGAGCTTGCACTCACAGCACTGTGAAGAATATCTTAACTTAGAAACAAACCATAATTCGTTTTGATTTACACGGAAGCAAGAATCTCAAAAAGAATTGGCTTGGGTAATAAGGAAAAGGCAAATGAATCTTGTATCTTTTCATCCCTTTTACAGCACCCCTCTCCCCAAAAGAGATCTCAACACTCAAATCTCAATCCTACATTTGCATGCACACACAAGCACACACCTACACACACATGTGCGCACACATGCATGCCCCTCTACCATTCATCTAGTTGTAAATCTAGGGAATTATTTTTCCCTTTTTCTGTGTGCCTCTTCCTCCCATAATCAACCCACTACCAAATTGGCTAAGAAGCCAGATTTGCTTCTTAGATACATCTTTAAACTGTCTTATCTCCATCTCCTCCAGGTCACCATCACCGGTGGCAGGGAAATGTGGCATTGCACCAGCTCTGCTCATTAATATCTTTGACAGTTGGGAACTTTTTCTCCTATTTACTTTCTACTGAGAAGTTAGAAATGTAGATGTGAATGGTTTGAGTTGACACAGTACGCTGTCAGTTTCCCAATGGAAATGAATTAGGTAAAGGAACCCACATCAACTACTGGATAAGAATCAATGTGGGTGGTTTAGCTCTTTTCTGTCTGTGCTCTTTACAATATTCTAAGGCAGTTTTAAGCAATTGAGATTGTTTTTTACCTTCTGACAGTGCATCAAAAGGAGTGGCTTGAGCAGTCAATATTGGGCTATGGGGTTGACAGATCTGGATTCAAGTTGCAACTCGGCTAATTATTTGTGTGACCTTTAGCAAGCTACTTGCTGTAAGCCTGTATTGGTTTCTTAGGACCACTGTCATAAATTACCACAAAATTGGTGACTTAAAACAACAGAAATGTATACTCTCAGTTTGGAAAGCTACAAGTCTGAAATCAAGGTGTTCACGGGTCTGTGCTTTTTCTGAAGCCCCTGGGGTAGGATCTTCCTTGTGGCTTCTTCCATCTCCTGGTAGCCCAGGTGTTCCTTGGCTTACAGCAGCATATCTCCAATATCTGTCCCCATCTTCACCTGGGTCTTCCCTCTGTGTCTTTGCCTTCACATGGCATTCTCTTGTGTGTCTCAGTTTCCTTTTCTTATAAGGACTCCAGTCTTATTAGATTATGGCTCACCCTAATCCAGAATGACTTCATCTTAATTTGGTGACCTATTTCCAAATAAGGTCACATGCACAGGTGCTGGGGGTGAAGACTTTAATATATCCTCTTTTGCAGGGAGGGGAGGGGGTGAACACAATTCAACCCATAAGCCTCAAAACTAGCTTTCTGACCTGTGCAAGAGAGATAATAATACTACCTGCTAGATATGGTTTTTGTGAGGATTCAGTGACACACATGTCTGGGCCCTCACACAGTACCTTCAACATAACCAGAACTCAGCACAAACATCCCCAGTCTTCTACCTCCCTTTCCAGACCCTCCCCTCCTCTTCTTCTCCTACTCAGCTACCCCAGTCTGTCATTTTTGTTTACTCAGAGTAGAAACACAAAACAAGCAACCATAAGTTTACATATTACCTGACTCCATCCTTCCTGCCATTAATTTAGCAGGTGTTTTTGGTGAATTTTTCAAACGAATGTGTTTACCTTTCACAGTGTTTCCAGAAAGGACTCAAAGTTCAGTGGCGTGTAAAAGACTACTTTGTACTTGCCAGTACATAGTCCCCAGGTCTTCTGTAAGCACAGCTTCTTTGGATGAAAAAAGCTGTGAAGAAGCCCATTCCTCTCCAGCACCATCTGGTGAAACTGATGAGGCCCCATTGATTTTCACTGCCAGTGGAGAAACTGAGGAGAGAGCCAGAGGAGCACCCAAGCAGGCTTGGAACAGTTCATTTTTGGAACAACTGGTACAAAAGCCTAGTTGGGCACACTCAGTAAATCCTGTTCACCTGGAGGCTCAGGGCATACACATCAATAGACACACAAGACCTAAGGCCCAGCCCTTGAGCAATCCCAAGAAAAATTCTGGTAAGTATCACATTGTGGTTACTGATTCTCCTTGTTTCAACTGGTCACATTTTGTTTTCAACTTCAATATAAACAGAAAAAATATTGATTTCATGGCCAGTCCTATTCTAGAAGGTACCACAAGAACTACAGTAGCCAGTCCTCAATGAAAGTCTGCTTGTTGCCAAGTACTATATTGGAGGAGAGAACAGGTGTGAGTCGATGACAGATAATTTGATGATTCAGTTATTGCACCTGACAATGACAGCTATTATCATCACAATTCCAGCCCCACTTATTAAGCTTTCACCATGTGCCAGACACTGTGCTGGGCATTTTATATTATTTTATGAAATCTTAATATAATATTCAGGCAGATCATACTATTATCCCCATTTTACAGACAAGGAAGTTGTGAATTCATAGCACAAGATATAGGAGGAATGGTTCAAAGTAAGGACATGGCCCAGAAGGGATAAGTTTTGGAACCAGAAAGAACTGTGCTCAAATATCAGCTCTCTCCCATCTCAGCTCTGTAACCATTATCAAGTCCCATAAATGTTTTGGCAACCCAGTTTTTTCATCTGTAAAAAATGACAATTATTACTTCAAATGATTTATATAAATAAAATTTCCTGAACATAGTAAGGACTTAATGGGGGTGGTGATGTTCAGACTGGAGGAGAGAAAATCTAAGGAAAAAAAAATGTGGATCTCCAAATATTCCAAGAGCTGTCATGTAGAAGAGGGATGAGACTAATGTTACATACTCTTCTCATTTATAGCAAGCTTGTCCGACTCATGGCCTATGGCTTTGTATGTGGCCCAACACAAATTCGTAAACTTTCTGAAAACATGAGATTATTTGTGCGTTGTTTTTTTTTTTTTTTTTTTTTTTTTTCCTCATTAGCTATCATCAGTGTTAGTGTATTTTATTTATGGCCCAAAACAAGACACTTTTTTTCTTCCTATGTGGCCCAGGGAAGCCAAAAGATTGGACAGCCCTGCTTTATAGGGACCTTTTGAGGTAGGTTCCCTCCACATGTTTGTACAGTTTGTTTAAATTTACTAGAAGACAAAAGAGATAGATTTTGACTCAATACAAAGGAGAACTTTCTTTGAACTAGAAGAGAATATACTGCATGGGCTGGAAGTGCTCAAGCAGGGGGCTGGGAGACCTTCTTCCAGAAAGGCTATGTCAGAGATTCCTTTGTTTCTGGGAGCTGGGCCTGGTGATGAGAAACAGAAGATGCTGGTTGGCTAACACTTTTGAATTCTTACTATGAACAAGGCAATATGTTGAAATTGGAATGTATATCTTCAGTTTTGATCCACATGACTCTCCTCTGAGATAGAAACTGTTATTTTCCTATGATTTAGTGCAGAATCCAGGTCAGAGTATTTCTAGATCCAGGTTCTAAATATGACTATAGTGACTCTTGAGCACTGAGCACTTGCCATGTACTTGATGCTCAACATTTTGTCAGGTTCTTTCCTCCAATTCTTAGCTAGTTTCCTTTCTCATTTCAAGTCTAACTTGCAATGTCACCTACTTAGCTCTTTCTCAAATTCCTGTCTCAGTTTAATTTTCATCATAGGATTTATTTACCAGCTGGCACTTAAAATTTATTCATTCACTTACTTGTTAGTCTGCTTCTCCTCCCTACTTTTTATCGCCTGCCATGTTCCCTTTGTATCCCCAAGGTCTAGAATACTGCTGAGCACATACTGGGCATTCAGATATTATTAAATGAATGAACAAACCTAATCTCACTAGCAACCCTGTGAAGTAGGTAATATAACTCCCATATTTCGGGTAAGGACAAAGAGACTTAGGCCAGGTCGTGTGCCAAGATTGGAATCTATGAAGTCCTGACCCCAGAGCTTTATTTCATTATACCACACTGTCCCTTTAAGATAGTTTGTTGCAAAATGTATCATTACTAAATTGCTTTCAGGGAAAGACATTTCTATCTTTTTTTTTTTGACTCAAAACATAGGAAAGCATATCCTGTCTAGGTCATGCCCTATTGCTCCAAACTCCAAAGCTACATCAGTGTTCTCTAGTGGATTTTTCTTGCACTGAATATTGTTGGCAGTGAATGGTCCATCTGACAGGGCCAGAAATCCAAATCAACAGCTATTAAGCACCTAGTGTTCACAAAGCAACACGCTTGAAAGTTTTCATTTACTTGGAGATATTAAAATGCCATTCTACCTTTATTTCAGGAAGTGATTCCTGCATTGGAGAATTCAGATTCACAAAAAAATTTTCACTGTTTGACTTGGGCATGTGACATGTGCAGAGGGAGGTACTCAGTACATACTAGGCATAGAACAGAGTGTAATGAACTAAACTGAATTACGTAAAGATAGACTGACTGACTGACAACCACTGTTAGGAAGGTACTATTCATTTTAATTCTTTTATGTATTTTTTGAATTTCGGAATGATCTGAGTTGCTCCAAATATTCTAGACATCTATATGCTATTAAAAACCTTTTGAAAGCTTCTAGAAAGTGATTTAAACACATAAATTATCTTAAGTCCCTACTGAAGAATTGGACTTTAATTTGTGTAGGTCAATGGGCAGAATTTCTCAGGTAAAAGCTCCATGATTTATATATGTATTTATATATAAATCTTGAAGTTTATATATGCAATATATTAGATAATATGGAAGTTTATATATATATGAACATGTAGGTAAATATATGCATGTGAATATATATATATATTCACACACACATATAGCAGTCTTGGCTATGTTGTAAGAAAACCACATCTTTTGTATGGAAAAATTATTTTGTTGGGCAAAGAAAGAGAAAAATCAAACTTATTAGTATTAGTGGATATGTGTGTGTTATGTAGACCCAGTCTTAGGTTAATTTACTGTTTGTTTTAATCTTCAGCTGGTTTGAAGTTTCCAATAAAACTAATTAAGTAACAGCCTTTTGTTTTTTTAAAAAATCATCAGTTGACAGTCTACAGGGACTGTAGACACATTTGCTTTCACATATCCATTAATAACTCCACTTGACAATTTTCCATGCACAAACTTTCCCCTCATTTAGAAGTTCGAGCCCTATTTTAGCCACCGATTCTTCTGTGTCTCTCTCTTTGGGGGGTTTGAACAGTTTTCCTTGAAATAGAAAGTTTTCTGAGGATTATGCAAAAGCTATATATATATTGAGGCGTTGGGGAGGTGGTTTCAAAGAACAGGAAGGGAATAGATAGCATTTTTGTTTTCCTCGATAAATATGGGGAGGCAGGTGAGGATCATGTCAGGGTTTTATTTATTTATTTATTTATTTATCTATCTTTCCCCTCTGAGCACATTACAAATGTCGATTTCTCAGATGTCCAGTTGTCGCGGGGGCGCGGTGTGGTCCCGCACACTTGAGCCTCATCTCTGTCCTGCTTTCCTGCTTTGCCTTCCAGGTTCCACCGCCAGACCTTTCACTGCCATCGGCCTCTGCAGGAGGAGCCAGACCCCCTGCGCCCTGCAGAGCGCCGGCCCGAGTAACGCAGAGCTGGAGCCGAAGGAGAGGATGGCAGCCCCAGCAGGCTCTCAGGCACACCCCGACATCCAAAGCAGACTCCTGGGCGCGTCCGGAAATCCCGTCGGAAGAGGCGCGGTTGCCATGGCGCCGGAGATGCTCCCCAAGCATCCTCATCCCCCGCGGGGCAGGAGGCCTCGGGCGGACACCTCCCTCCATGGCAATCTGGCAGGAGCGCCCCTTCCTCTGCTGGCCGGTGCTTCCACCCATTTCCCCTCCAAGAGGTTAATAAAGGTTTGCTCCTCAGCACCCCCCCGCCCAACCCGGCGTTTCCATACGGTTTGTTCACAGGCCCTTTCTAGGCCGGTGGTGAATGCTCACTTACATTGACCGCTGCGAGGGAATTGTTCGGCGAGTGCTGCCCATCTTCAAATCAATGCCTGCTCAGAACAACAGAAAGGGCCTCAGATGTACTGGTTTCCACAGAACCATTGTTAGGCTTTTGTGAAGCATTTTTGAACCTAATAAATAATGTCAAAAGTCCGTAGCGCAGCCAAAAATGTTCCTTTTGAAGCATCTCTAATAGTATTTTTGTTCTGCGGTGTCTCCCAGTGTTACAAAGAATTTGTGCCTCACAATAGGGATGGGGTACATCGCGTGCCACTTTGCAACGTGCCTCGTGGGATTGTGAGGACCCCTCTTTGTTTTGCTTTCGCAGGTAAACGGTTTCACTTGCCAACTTCGCCTTTAGCTTAAGGATGTTTTCTAAGGGCCTTTAGAATTTCTAAACAGCGATTGGGAAAACATAATTGAATGTCTGTAATTTAATAATTTACATGAAATTGATTACTCCTGATGTGCCCAGGGGAATTTTTCATGTCGTATTAAGGGTTTAATGTTAGAAATCTGAAGCTGGGCACTAGTTTGAGGCCCTGGAACACTTGGAACCAAGTTTAATGTAAAAGAGGTGCTGAATTTGCTGATTTGTAATACAAAATACTGGAGCAGCTTAGGGAACCTTTTATCAAACTGGTAATTTTAGGCAATACCTTTTATTTTGTTTAATATAGCAGCTTTTCATCATGATGGGATGCTGATGCCAACTTTATCAATTGATTTTATGAGTTTAGGTTTTCTCTTTTTAATATAGTGGGGGTTTTTTTCCCTTCAGAAACAAAGAGAAGTCAATGTGACCGATATGCTTATATGCAGTTTTGCACTCAAGTTCCTTGGAATTTTCCCACAAGCTTAGATTCACAGAGTTTGATAGATGGAGGTTGTCAAATCTTACTGCATTTAAAAAACTTTTTTTTTGCTTTAGTTCAACTTAATAGATGTAGTATGATTACATTTAAGACAGCATAATGTCTCAACTCCAAATTTAAGTCTCAAGGTTTTGAGAGGAATGAAGTGTTATCAGCAATAACTTCCTAACATTTAAGAGTCTGTTTAGTCCTTTGGAGACTGAAGACTGTTTACTTTTTTTTTTTTTTTTTTAATATTAGCATGCTTTAGGAATAATGCACTTTAAAGAAAAATGGTATCCCTAAACTTTAGAGCTTTCTTGGTTCCAGATTAATATGATTTTTATAATAAATATGCTTTTATTTTATTTATTAATATGGTTTTATTATAAGACAATGTACAGGTTATCAATGTTGATTTTTGTGGTTTCTTGAAGATATACTGGCATCTGCTCACCAGAGTTCATGTGACAGTCATAAATTCAACTTCATGCCATTTGGTTGGAGATTAAGTGTGTAGGCAAACTCATGGACTTACATAGAAGTTTGATTCTGGGATATTTTAATTTGCTATTTAATTATGAGTTAACACAACTGATGTTTTTAGGTCAAGAAATCATTAAGTTATTTTAAAATAATTAAGCAAAAATTTGTAATGGTCAATTTCAAGAATAGAAAATGTACTTGATGTAATAGATGGATTCCTTCAACTGTAGAAGTGCAAATTACTGAATTTATTAAAAATGCAAAACAGAAGGAGAGATCTTGTTCAGAATTCAGAAAAGGAATACAGGCTACAGATATAAAATATGTTGTATTCTAAAGAAGTTTCCCAAAGTGTTTTGTGAAACACTGGTGTAAGAAAGATAGTTTGTGAAATGGAGGGTCCATAGATAAATATGTCTGAGAGACGCCCACTATGCATGCTCTTAGAGAGTCATAGTAACATTAGGTCCCTGAGAAATCCCATAATTTAAAAAATCTGATAAACTCTGTTTAACCCAATGTCTAGCAACCTTATTTAATCATGGAATCCTGATAGATTGGTGTGTGTGTATATACATATACGTGTTTTTGAAAAAATCCTATCAGTACTTTGTACCACCAGTGTCCTATGCAACACACTTGGGAAAACATTGCTCAGAACTCTGTTCTAAATACACCAAAGTCTCTGTAGATTTGTAGGGTTCAAAGTAAGGATTTCTTTTCACATTAGTGAGGTAAAAATCAGGGCTAAAGAAAGAAGCACTTTGAGACCCTATTCTTCCTTGGAGCAGTGTAATGAACTGTCTCTGTTTATTTGTCCTCATTTTGGATGCACATGTCTGGGAGAAAATTAGTTGATCCAGCCCTGATCATGCTCTTTAGTGATGGATGAGAAGCATTTTCAACTCTGTCATCGTCATGGGCTGGAGGTCCTTTGGAATGACAGCTTCTTTTGTACTATAACTTAGACACAAATGCACCAAGGTAAATGTAGTGAATTCTTTACTAATACCATTTGTTCTGAAAGCAGCGCTAAATTAAGCAGTCATAACCGAGGATGAATCCATTTAAGGAAATAAATAATATATTTTTATATGTAGCACAGGCAGTGAGGACTAGAATGAGGCCCTATTGTGTAAAATAATTGTTTCACAGGTTCTGAGTTACAGTTTGACTTTATTTCTTTTGTGGTTTGACTTATGGTTATGTGGCATTACCACATACCATAAGTATCTTTAAAGAACATAATATGCCACTTCATAGAAAAATATTTTTATGAAAGTTGCATTAGAAAATAAATATTGACAAATATAAAAATTTGGTGCATTGAAGAAACCAAGTATTTAGGATAGTCTGTAGTGAATAATGTTTACAAATAAGGACTCTTTATAATATATAAAATAATAATTATAACAGCTAATATTTATTGTGTATTATACTAGAGACTGTCCTGTTTAACATGTATTAATTCATTTAGTCCTTATAATGGCTTCATGAAGTAGTTACTATCATCTCCATTTCATAGATAAGGTAGCTTCATCTTTAATGATAATAATGATAACATATACATACATATACAAATATGTTTTAAAAAACTGTATGTTATTTTATATATGGTGCTGTATTATACAATATGTTATGAAAGCTAGTATATATGCATATATGAATATGTTTGTGTTCCACCTACATCTATAAATCAGTTTTTATACCCTGCTGTTGGTACATAAGTGAGGTGAGAATAGAGACTCTACTCACATCCCGTCACCTCCTGATTATATAGTAGAGAACTAGAAGTGATAATTATGGGTTGACAACATAGCATACATTTGAACATTTGAACACTCTGAAGAACAAAGCATAAGAGATTATTGTCACATAGTTCTTTTTATTTGAAACAACATTATCCCTGTGAATGAAGGCTCAGAAAATAAGGGAAGGAGAGGTTGTTTTGAGGTTTACAAAAGATGGCAGCACTTTTAAGATTATTGGAGCTGACCAAAATCAGACTTGTGAAAGACATGGGATGTTGTAGTGGGAGCATTAAGGAAAAAGCTAAGGTACTGGGGCTGACCCAGATCTCAGGAGCCAAGGGTGCATTCCTATAAATGTGACCTGAACTCAGCGTCACTCCTACCACTTGGACAGAGTGTCTTCGCTGTTAAATTGGGATTACACGTTTTGTTTACTGCATAGGATAACTTGGGGACCAAATTTGCTATTAAATGAAAGCATTTTGAAAAGTAAGAGTGGTATACAAATTCAAATCATTATTTTATGACTAATATAAACAATAATTAGTACATATATTATCATTATTTATGCAGGGCTGATATAAGAGGTTATAGATCTAACTGCCTTACACTGACATTGAGCACTATTTCTGCTGTCTGTGTCATCATGTTCCTCTCTAAGAAGTTTTTATATACTATATCCTTTACCTTCATTCCAATACTGTGAGGTCAGTAGTAGTATCCCATTTACCAATGAGGAAACTGAAACATAGGGAGACAAAGCAATTTGGCCAATGACTACCTCCATCACTCATGCTCACAAACATTACACTACAATGTCTTATTCAAAGCAAGTTATATGTTAAAAAAAAAAAAAGAACAATGTATGCAGTTGATGAATTTACAAACTATTCCATGCAGAACCTCCAATTTAGAAAAGTTCAGATTGGGTACAGGATGCCATGTGGTATCCTCCAAATGTGATCTTCTAGTTCAGCTCTCTATAAAAGACTCTAAAACTACCCAGAAAAGGGAAGGGATAAGATAATGTTTTTGTAACTACAAATGTCATGTTGAGGATTTGAAGTCACACAGGGACACAGGAAAGAGGCTGTTGTCAAGAGAAGACTCAACCTCAATAAAAATGCTCCAACCTTTACCATGGAGTAATATGTAGCCATAAAAAAGAATGAGATGATGTCCTTTGCAGGAACATGGATGGAGCTGGAGGCCATTATCCTTAGCAAACTGACACAGGAACAGAAAACCAAATACCCCATGTTCCTAGTTATAAGTGGAAGCTAAATTATGAGAACACGTGGACACATACAGGGAAACAACACACACTGGGGCCTTTTGGAGAGTGGAGGGTGGAGGATGGGAAGAGGGAGAGGATCAGGAGAAATAACTAATGGGTATTGTTATGCCTAATACCTGGGTTATGACATAATCTGTACAACAAACCCCCATGACACAAGTTTACCTGTGTAACAAGCCTGCACATGTATCCCTGAACTTAAAAAAAAAGAAAAATGCTTCAGAATTCTTAAGGTGTGTGGGGTCCCTCTTGCACAATCCAAGGTTTTTTTTTTCTTTCCTTTTTTTTTTTCTGCCATGTTTAGGCTTCCCACTCCTGCTTCCTCCATACTCCCATGCTCTGTGTTTTCCCTCCTCTATGGGAATCAATCTGATTTTGTAAGTCGTGATATTGAGAGATATTGAGATCATGAAGTGTTAATTGGGTCCTTACCATCCTAGGTACTCTGAGAGAGATTTGAGAAATTTGATTCAACTCAACCAATAGGTATTGTGCTCACCACGTGCAAGGCACTGGCCTTGGTGCTGGGGTTGTCTACTGAAAAGGACACGGTCTTCTTCCTTGACTAGCTCAACCTAGTGCAAGGCTTAGTTCTTTCATTTATCCATTCTAAAATATTTACTGAACATCTGCTATGTGCTGGATATGTTTTACTGGAGACAGAATAGTGAAGAGCCATTTTAATTAAGTGAGACCTAGATAGTGAAACATGAAATAATGGCACAATGATATTTAAGTCCTTTGATGATCATCCTTTAGCCACAA